CCCCCTCCCCCCCAAAAAAAAAGTATCTCTTTTCAGGCTTCCCTATGCATCCTGCTCCTGGATCCCGAGACCCAGACGCTTGGCACAGCTCGTTGCAGAAGTGCCCACAATTCCGTTCCAGAAGGTCGTAGTCAACACCTGAAGACGAGCACTGGGCGTTGCGAGGCTTCAGGGTGCGTGGGTTTAGGGTTTAGGGTTTAGGGTGGGGCTTTGTACGGCTGATGATACAAACCCTGCACTACCCATTTTACAGGAATATGCCATAATGCCCATAGTTTAGGGTCCTTAAGGTAATGCAGGTTTTATACTATCAACAATAATTTGCGGAGTGCTCGGTCCTGCGGCTTTGTTGTGAACGGTCTATAGTCTGCTTCAGAGGGTCCATGTACATTACCATTATGGAATTAGGTCCCCAAAGATCATCCTTACAATGGTGAGGGACCTAGCACATACTGTTGATAATATACATCCTGCATTACCTTAAGGACCCTAAGCTATGGGAATTATGGTATGTTCCGTTAAAATGGGCAACGCAGGATTTATATCATCAACCGCATGGATCCTCTTGGCTCATTGTCAAGAGCCTGTTTAGGGTTTAGGGTTTAGGGTTTAGGGTTTGGTGTTGAGGGTTTAGGGTTTAGAAGGAGCATTTCCGTGCTGCCACGACGCCTGCTGGCCCTTCACCCTCAACCCTGAACTCTTCGAGCAAAACCACCCCAAAGCCCAAACCCTGAAACCCTAAACCCTAGACCCTAAAACCCAAAAACCCTAGACCCTGAAACCCTAAAACCCTAGACCCTAGACCCTAAAACCCCAAAAACCCTAGACCCTAAGCCCTAAAACCCTAAACCCTAAAACCGTAAAACCCCAAAACCCTAAACCCCCAAACCTATCAGCCCGTACCCCTGCAGCTCTAATGAGCCGATCTCCAAGGGTCCCTCTACCCAGAGGGCATAAAGGGTTTAGGGTTTAGGGGTTTAGGGTTTAGGGTTTAGGGGTTTAGGGTTTAGGTTTTAGGGCATGTCTTTGGAACCCTGAACCAAGAGGGTCCAAATGGACTGCTATTGTGGAATTAGGTCCCTCAAAACCATGCAAAGGATGGTCTTTTGGGACCTAATTCCATAATGGTAATGTATATGGACCCTCTGGTGAAGGTACTAGATCAAACACCTTTAAGCATCTAGTTTTGGGTTTGGGGGTTTAGGGTTGAGTAGTCTGTTACACTACAATACAATGAACCCTAAATTCTAAAATAGGCTCGAACAACCATAAAGCCTAAACCTTATCTCCCCCCCCTTACCCCCACTGTTCAAAGCACTCCTAAACCCTAAACCCTAAACCCTAAACCCTACCTAGACCCCAAAGGGCCTACCTTTTTAGGGTTCCTTTTTATGACCTCTGTAGATAAGTCCTTAAGAAGGTAGGTTTCCCGGGGCTAAGGTGAACCCTAAACCCCTAAACCCTAAACCGTAAACCCTAAACCCCTAAACCCTAAACCCCTAAACCCTAAACCCTAAACCCCTAAACCCCTAAACCCTAAACCCGAGTTTGAGTCTTGCAGCCCTTGCCTGACCAGCGCCGCTTGAGCGCCAGGATCACGCCTTCGACCTGCTGAAAAGCTTTAAGGGAGCTCGCAGGGTTTCGGGTTTAGGGTTTCGGGGTTTAGGGTTTAAGGTTTGGTGGTTTAGGGTTTGGGGGTTTGGGGGTTTAGGGGTTAGGGGTTTAGGGGTTTAGGGGTGTAGGGTTTAGGGTTTAGGGTTTAGAGTTTCGGGTTAAGAGTTTATAGAAACCCTAAACCCTAAACCGGAATCCTTATCGGAACCCTGCTAGATCCCTTAAAAGCAGCCTATCTAAAGCTGGTAAAGTTTAAGGCTTTAAGGTTTATGGGGGCCAGGGTCCCTGCCAGGTAGGATACAAAGGCCTTAACAATTCGGTTTAGGGTTAGGGTTTAGGATTTAGAGTGTAGGGCTTAGGGATTAGGGATTATAATTTAGAGTGTAGGGTTAAGGGTTTAGGGTTTAGGGTAAACGGTAAATATATCCATCATCCTTATACAACACTCCTGTGGGGACTATAAAGGGTTGTACTACTGGCTGATTCAGATCCTCAGATTAGGTTTGAGGTTTGGGCCTAAACACTAAACCCTGAAGCGTAAGAATGGACATCGCCGGAGTTGATATAACGTCTCTTGATCGCAAGACCCTCTGCCTTGAGGGCAAAGTCAACCCAAGTTCCCCAGAGGGTCCATATATACTACCCAAGAGGGTCCATATGTACTACTATTATGGAAGTAAGTCCCTCAAAACCAATGTGCGCATGGTCTTGTGGGTCCTAATTCTATAATGAATATGTACATATATATATATATATATGTATGCAATATATATATATATATATATGGACCCTCTGGGTACCAATAGTTCTCTAAACTAGGGTCCCTCTTTGGGTCCCCAATACAATGCGGCATTCAAAAAGGTACCAGAAAGGGATCCGAAGTTAGAGAACTCTCCACACCGAACCCTTTAAAGAAATCTCTATAGAAGCCCTTATGGAAACCCTTCGGGACCCCGTTTAAGAGACCCTTTAAAGAGACCCACCCTAAACCCTAAACCCTAAACCCTAAAAGGGACCCTAAGTTACAGAACTACCCATATGGCAGCCCCTAAGCCCTAAACCCTAGCCCTGTACAAAGTCAGGATGCCGGGGCTCATCATTTAGGGTTTCGGGTTTAGGGTTTAGGGTTTAGGGTTTAGGGATGCGAACATCTGAGGTTGAAGCCATGGGCCCCTAACATAACCCTTAGGGGGATTCTAGGGTCCCTTAAGGGTATATATAAGGTATATAGTAGGTTATATGTGAGGGTCCCAGGGTTAAGGGCCCATACTAGGGACCCATGGGTTCTACCTTAGAGAACATGAGGCTTCGGGGTTAGGGCTTTAGGGGTGTATGGTTCAGGGTTCTAGGGTCCTAGGGTTCAGGGTTTAGGGTTCCGGGCTTTAGGGGTTCAGGGCTTTAGGGTCTTAGGGTTCAGGGTTCAGGGCTCAGTTTGATTTAACTAGGGGTGTATGGTTCAGGGTTGGGGTTGGTTCGGGGTTTTAGGGTGTAGTGTCTAGGAAGTTTCCTTAAGGGTACCAGGAGAATATGGTGTTCCAAATTTCTGGCTTCTACTTTCCGCCAATTTGAAGATTGACCTGCTTGGGGTCCTGGGTCAGGGAATTCAACAACATGCGATCAGCAGTGCGAGGAAGTACCGAAATAAGCGGGGGAACCCAATTAGATGTTCACGGTTAAGAATCAGCTGCGAGTACAGATATAATATGGTGTCTATCTGGTTTCTTTCAGTGTTAGTAAAACCGCATAGTAGCAGTGACAACCGAGTTGTCACTGTCGTCATAATATTCTACTCTGTCACATAGCTTGGACGACCCTCAACCCTAACAAAACCCTGAACCCTTAGACCCTCAACATGCAAGGGATCCTAGCACTAATCCTCCTAAACCCATGTTCCAACTTTCTGGGGTTCGCTGTAGTCTGCAGGGCCTCAGGGTTGAGGGCTAGGGTTTGCACTTGGATGCTAAAAGTAGTAACAGTCTGTGAACTCAACAAGATCAGAGGTCACGTGCTCAAGCTTAGCCACCCTAAACCCCAAACCCTAAACCAACAACTAAACCCCAAACCCTAAACCCTTAACCCTAAGCCAACAACTAAACCCCAACACCCTGCTCTGCAAGATTAACCTCCTCTGATTCTTTAACCACCCTCAGCCCTAAACCCTGAAACACAACTACTCTTCTCAACCACTATCAAGGTTAAACCCGAACCCCGAAACCCTTAAACCCTAACCATTGAAACCCTAAGCCCTAAAACTTTTTTCCCAAAGCCCTAAATCCTGCCCTGGCCTCTTTCCGCCGAAGTCCCGAGCGACCCATGGTCACCTGGGTTTAGGGTTTAGGGCCTACCTTAACCCCAAGTAACCTACCTTATATAAAGAAACCATAACAAGGAACCCTAAAATAAGGTAGGCTCTTTTGTGTACTTTTGGGTCCAGGTAAACCACCCAAGCCCTAAACACAGAAGGCCCCGCCACCTCATAAACCTAAAACCCTACACCCCACCTAAACGCCGAAAGCTTTTATGGATCGCAGAGCTTTGGTTGAGGCTCGAATTTAGGAAATCTGGCTCAGAGTTCAGGCTTTCAGGGTTTACGGAAGTTCAGACAGTTTGGGGAAGTGTGGCTAACTGTGCTAGCTTTCAGACCGGCGCTATCTAATGTGGAGGCCGTAATGACTCCTGTAGAATGGGGTTTTGGGATCCTTTTTGGAAGAGTTATAATTAGGAATCCTACGGAATCCTTTAGGCAAATATCTAGGCTGCACCATTATACCCTAAACCCCTTTCCCTAAACCCTAAAACCCCCAAACCCTACACATGCTGAAATTGTATCGCCTTCTCTACGGCATTGGGGTTAGGAACCTAGGTTCTCTAGTAACCCCTTGATAATAAGGGTGCTCTTTTTCCTACTATTTGGTTTCAATAAGGAGATCCCAAACCAAACCTGATAGGGGCCACGAACCCGAATGCAGACACCAATCTTGCCTCCAGTCATGCTTGCTGTTTATCCCACCGATATCGTTCCATGTGGGTTACAGAAACGCGATAGCGATGCTCCAAGGCAAAGCGCAGCATCTCCACGAATGCCACACTCCGGTGCTTGCCCCAACTACAGTTGACTGCAACCCAGACCGGTTTGGGATGTTGCTTCGCGCTGAATGCTTCAATGTGATCCAAGACTGCTTGCATGATCCGTTGCGCCTCCATGTTGCCCTCGACCGCCATCCGGGTTTCAGGAACCAATCCCGAAGGTCGCTTCGGCGGCCGATTGCCAAGGTGCTCGGAAGCTCGACGGTCGTAGCCGGGCGTGCGCAAATCTCGCAAATCGACATTTTCAATAAGGAGACCCCAAACCAAAAAGGGCAAAAGGGTACCCTAAACCCTAAACCCTAAACCCTAAACCTGGGTTAGGAACGTCTGCAGCTCATGCCAGATCTCGCGAGTTTTGAAGCTGGGGGTCGATCGGGCAGGGATTTAGGGTTTAGGGGTTTAGGGTTTAGGGGTTCAGGGGTTTAGGGGTTTAGGGGTTTAGGGGTTTAGGGGTTTAGGGGTTTAGGGTTTAGGGTTCCATTCCAGGATCTGCGACATGGTCGCGGGGTTTAGAGCTTACCTATAGTCTCCATTGTGGCTCCTTTTTTGGTTTACCAAATTTTTATTGTGGGATCCCAACCATACAATTGGTTAACCAAAAAAGGAACTACAATGGGGACTTATAGGTAGGCTGGCCCCTAAGCCCTAAACCCTAAACCCTAAGCCCTAAACCCTAAACCCAGGGGGGTGGATCATAAGGCATACGCGACCCTATAGGTAGGCTTCTTCTTGAAAGGACCAAAGGTTGGGATCCTTTCTGACGGCTTCGTCAATTGGTGGAGGCACAGGGATGTATGACTCAGGGGTCCTCATCCGGAATATGGGCCCTGTTCCTGGGCTGTGAAGTAACCAGGGAGAAAAAAGTATAGACTGTTATTTCATAATGGTTCCTTGAAGGAACAGGTCCCCCCCAAAGAAAGTATTAAAGTATGGTACTCCAAAGCCCAGTGTCTGTTGAACGTGCAAAAGGCCGGAGGCTTGAGAGACGTGGGCACGGAAGCAGCTTCATAGTGCGGGAATGCGCGGTTTTGAGTCTGCTCCGAGCGCACAAGCAACCATCGTGATATCTGTAGGGTCCCTACCATTACCTACCAAAACCAACTTTTTTGTAGGTTCTTCTTATAAACCCGAATATGGGATTTCTAGGGACCCTACAAACAAGTAGGTTCTGGTGTAGCTAAAACCCTAACTCAGGACCCTTCGCCTACGCCCCGAGACGGGTTAGCGCCCTCACCTCCTGAATTCCTACACCCAGGACATCGTTCCCAGCCAAAGGTCTAGGGGTCCTAATCTAAGGTTTAAGGTTTACATCGTTTTTGCTTGAAGGTTTCTTCAGGCGCCCTGTCAGGGATACTTCAACGAACGGGGTCTGCAAGGAATGTAGGGTCGGTCCTGCCAAGACCCGGGCAGTCTGCCGGAAGGTGTAATACCTCGGCCAGCCAAGTGAAGCGAGCGTGCAGGGTTTTGGGTTTAGGGCCAAGAGTTTGCCAAACTCCAACGATCCCTGTGCTGACGCTCTAATATCTAAGGCTTTCTAGGTCAAGTGTAGACTGTACGGTATACCTGAACCCAAAATAACCTACCGGTTTAAGGACTTATTTAATAAGAAGCCCTGAAGAGGTAGCCCTAAACCCTAAACCCTAAACCCCAAACCCTAAACCCTAGGTTCTTTAGGGTCCAGGTTGGGGCTGTAAGGGTTGAGGGTAGCGTTTCGGAGTTGGGTGCTGCCTTCTGGAGAGAGCCTGGGTTTGGGTTTAGGGCTTACGGCTTAGGGCTTAGGGTTTAGGGTTTAGGGCTTAGGGTTTAGGGTTTAGGGTTTAGGGTTTAGGGTTTAGGGTTTACGGCTTAGGGTTTAGGATTTCGGGTTTAGGGTTTAGCGATTACGGCTTAGGGTTTCGGATTTAGGA